GAGAGTCTATGACAAAAGAGGAGTGCTAGCTTTGGTTCAGGAGACAGGAACCTTGCACAGGATGATCTTTTAGAAGGGGAGGTCGTAGCCGCATAGCCAGGTTGGCCTGTGCATTGGTAGGAGGCGTTTTCAGAACTGCTGGCTACACCGTTCCTGGGCTGGGTGTCCACTGAGGAGTCAGGGCTGACAGGTGGAGGCTCACTCGGCTCCATGTCCTGCTCTGTGACGGGCCACAGGCTATTGTACCCAGGGCATGGAACCCCTGCCTCATGCCTTGTCCACTAGGCCGACAAAGGCAGTGACCATTTGAAAACTCAGCTATGTGAATGCCTTCCCAGGTTATTTTAAATAGCCCCACCAGTCAGCATTAAATGTAATCTTGATGATGGAATGCTGGGTTTCTTGTGGAATAGAGTCAATCCAGTTCCTTGGAATATCTGGGTGAGCTCCTATCAGAATAGAAGGGAAGGAAGTGGCAGCAAGCTCTGTGTGCGATGCGCGGATGTCGGGGATTTATGCGCACAGTAGCTGGAGGGTGCAAATCAAATCAGCCTCCCTCCACTGCAGGCCATGTGCCACAGGGGGCCGTGGCCAGCCGAGCCCCGGGGTCCCACAACCCCATCGCCCATGTCTCCTCCTGTGTTGCACTGGGGTCCAATCCTACCTCTTTTCCTGCCCTGAGCCGTAGGGACCAGTTTCCACACCACTGCTCTGGATCCATGGAGTTCACTGGGGAATCTTTCCTAAGCACAGCTCTCCTCATCTCCTTAGACCCTTTAAGAGTCTCTGTTGCATGACTGTTACCCTCAAACATCAGATTCATGCACCTCCCTCCCCGCCCCCACCCCTACCACAGGGATCCTGGCATCTGAGCCGGGTTTGTGAGCCAGTACAGCATCTGCACAGGTTGCATGGTTGATTTGGTCTCTGCCCCTCTTACTTTCCAACTTCCCCAGGAAACATCGACCCCATCTCCAGCCTGGCTGTGTCCCAGCAGGTGCCTCACACTCATGCCCACGTGCATCTACACTCAGCCGCACGAGGGGGATGTGCACTCGGGTTTGCCTACACAGCAGCATCAGGTGGACAGGAACTCTGGTCTCAGTCCATGTGGGCTGCAGCCTCTGTAGCAGCTCCAGGTTGGAGGCAGCAGCATGCATGGCGCTCTCTCAGATCAGAAGGCTGGAAATCCAGGGTCAGGTGCTGATGGACACATGCTGGTCTGCAGGTGGCTGTCCTTCAGTGTCCTTACATGGTGGGAGAAAGAGGAAGAAGCCTGGTCTCTGGTGTTTCTGCCTGGGCTCCAAAGCACCCAACCCTGGTGACCCAACCTCCTCCTGGGGCCCTGTGGCAGGCGCTGTGACCTGGGGTGGGGTTTGGAGACATGGAGTTTGAGGGGAAGCATTCAGTCCACAGCAGAAACGATGTTTCTCAGGGCTGGGTGGGTCCAAGCTGCCCCGGTCTATAAGAGCTGCAGATCCTTTCCAGATAATCGCAAGATCCGAAGGTTGATGCGGCGGGCGAGGCCCGTGCTTTCGCTGGGTTGTACTCGTCCACAGTCTACAGCCCACACTGTAACGCAGGGCTGGCAATGAAGACACTGCGCCCGCACCCCACAGCACCCTGGCATGATGGTCACTGTGCCCGCGCCGCACAGCACCCCTGCATGATGAAGACACTGCACCCGCGCAGCACAGCTCCCCTGCATGATGATCACTGCGCCCACGCCACACAGCACCCCTGTGTGATGGAGACACTGCACCCATGCCGCACAGCACCCCTGAGTGACAGACCACTGTGTCCACGCCGCACAGCACCCCTGTGTGATGGCCACACAGCACCCCTGCGTGATGGAGATCACTGCACCCACGCCACACAGCACCCTGGCGTGATGGTCACTGCGCCCACACCACACAGCACCCTGGCGTGATGGTCACTGCGCCCACACCACACAGCACCCCTGCATGATGAAGACACTGTGCCCACGCAGCACAGCTCTCCTGCGTGATGGAGATCACTGTGCCCATGCTGCACAGCACCCCTGAGTGACGAAGACCACTGCGCCCACGCTGCACAGCACCCCTGTGTGATGGAGACACTGCACCCGTGCCCCACAGCACCCCTGTGTGATGGCCACACAGCACCCCTGCGTGATGGAGATCACTGCGCCTGCATCGCACAGCACCCCTGCATGATGAAGACACTGCGCCCGCGCAGCACAGCACCCCTGCACGATGGCCACACAGCACCCCTGCATGATGAAGACACTGTGCCCGCGCAGCACAGCACCCCTGCACGATGGCCACACAGCACCCCTGCATGATGAAGACACTGCCCGCGCAGCACAGCACCCCTGCACGATGGCCACACAGCACCCCTGCATGATGAAGACACTGTGCCCGCGCAGCACAGCACCCCTGCACGATGGCCACACAGCACCCCTGCATGATGAAGACACTGTGCCCGCGCAGCACAGCACCCCTGCACGATGGCCACACAGCACCCCTGCATGATGAAGATCACTGCGCCTGTGCCGCACAGCACCCTCTGTGCAGGACCTGGCATTGACAGCCTCTCTGGTGTCTTTGCCAGAAATAGATAGAGGCCCTCCAAGCAATCATTCTATTTCCACCCCAGCTCTGCTCTCTGCACCGGCCCAGCAGTGAAGGCACAGGCTCAGTGACCGCGAGACCTTGGCAGTGCTATCTCCACTGCGTTCTTCCCTGTCATTCTCACGACAGATTTCCCGTTTGAGTTCATTCTGTGGATCCTTTTTCAGACTGACTTGGTGCCTTCCTGGCGCTAGGGTTCATCCAGCCTGGCACGGTCAGGTGTGACAAAGGAATCCTGAGGCGGGAAGTGCTGGCTCTTTTGGAAATGAGAGGGAGGAGGAAGAGGTCAGAGGTCAGGGCAGGATGGCTTGCTGCAGGGAGTCACACATGCATATGTGCGTACACACACACACACACACACACACACACACACACACACACACACACACACACTGTGGCTATGCAATAGGAAGTCAGCAGACGCCGGTGTGGCAACACCTCTGGAATCTGCCAGACACACTCAGGGCAGACGCTAATTTTCCCGACTTCTAATTAAGCAGTCTCTCATTCATCAGAACTAAAGCACTCAGGATGTTCCCCAAACTAATTTTTAAAAACAGATTGAGTGCCGTCTCTGCCCCGCTGGCTCAGGTCCTGAGGATGCAGACACAGCCACAGAGTCAGCTCTGACAGGAACCAGCAGACAAAGCCAGCCTGCGGCTCCACCTGCACCCCTCCAGTGTGGTGGACAGCCGGCCTGGGCACGTGCAGCCCGACCTGCCTAGTCTCCCTCGGAGGGACTCCGCTCCCAGCTCGTGCACCTGGCTGAGATGCAGGCCCAGATTTGCATACACACAGCAGAGTGAGCACACCTGCATTTTCATGTTCTTTCACAATATGGTCCTGAGTGCGGCTTCTGCCACTTAGAGCAGGACACGGGAGACCCAGAACTAGGCATCTGCACAGTGGGCCTTTGGCAGGCCCGCTGGCCACCGTTTTCTCATTTGTCCCCGTGTGGAGGCCTCAAGTCTGCTGGCCTGCTCCCCTTGCTTCTCTGGGAAGGTTAGAACTCTAAAGCATTCACCTTTTCATGTGCAATACACACACACACACACACACACACACACACACACACAGTCGTGGGTGCGAGTGTCCACTCCACCAACCTCCACAGCCTCTTAGCTAGCCTCCTGGCTAAGACAGACCAAGGACTGGCTTTTGAGCCAGTGGGCTCCACCTGGAGCTGAGCAGAACAGATAACTGGGAGGTGTGGAGTGTCGGTTAGGCAGTCCCGCACACCGTCCTCTGACTGGCTGCCCAGCATGCATCCCTGCACCTTACGTTCGGCTTCCCTGATCCAAGCCCATGAGGACATGCAGGGGTCCTGAGACCTGAGCCCAGTGGTCACTGCCTCACTTCTAATGTGGCGCACTGCCCGCGTTTGGCCTCCTGGTGTAGATGTATGTCCTCGTGGCTCAGCGAGAGTTAGCATGTGAGGCTGGAGGTGCCATCTCTGCTGCGTTATGACATGGGACTGGGCAGAGCCGGTGGGGAGCTGGGCAGGTATGGGGACATCAGCAGGATCTGTGCTCTGGTCAGGCCTCCCTGCCTACCAGGCACAGCCCCGACAGAGCCACAGCCTGGTAAAAATAATAGTAATGGCTCCCAGCCTTGCAGGGGCAGGGTCACCCGTGGGGTTGCAAGTGGTCTTTTACGTCATTTCCCCAAGAGCTGATTGTACAGACAAGGAGACCAGTATGAGCCACCTCAGTGCCTTGGGCAGAAATCAGAATGCTTTTACTGAATGCAGTGCCGCCGGTGCATATGGTTAGGTCTGTGAACAGCGCCAGGACCTTCCCTTTTCCACATGCTGCTAGTGTATTAGACCCCTCCCCCAGCCTGCTCAGACCTTCCAGATGACAATTCTGTGACCGAAACTGCCCCTTAGTGCAATCTGTCTCTGTGAAGATGTTGAAGAAGGTACCATGTGTGTCTCCGAGGGCTGTCACCCGCGTCTGGCACAGTGTCCTGGGACACACCAGCCCACACTGTATCCTGTCACGTGGCTGGGGGCAGGGCGGTGGGTGTCAGGCTGGGCCGGGGCAGCCTGGCAACAGGGAACCTGACAGGATGCCCCTGGCTGCCCAGGTCCCCTCCATCCATGCCTTTCTGAGCCTCCTGTCCCCTTGGCTGTAATGCACAGGTTGGGCTGTCACCTGCACCTATGACCTTCCTTGTATGCATCTGAAACGAGAATCCAAGTGCAAATACGAACGCGCAGGTGCGAGTCAGGATTAGGAAACAGGAAGAGTTTGCAGGTGGCCATGGCTATATGGGGTGACGGGATGGAGCATGCCCGGGTTCCTGGACTCTGGAGCCAGCTCTCCTCCAACCGAGGCCAGGCTCACCCAACCCCAGGCTCACCGCCCTCCCGCTTTGCTTGGCCAGGAACCTACTGCCAGCAGAGGGAGGTGGAGGCCATTATGGAAGGCGACGAGGACAACAGAGGCTGCTGCTGCTGCCGGCCGGGCCACTTGCCCCACCTGTTGTCCTGCAACGCAGCCTTCCGCCTGCGCTGGCTCACCTGGGAGGTCACCCGCACTCAGTACGTCCTGGAGGGCTACAGCATCATGGACAACAATGCCGCCACCATGCTGCAGGTGTTCGATCTTCGCCGGACCCTCATCCGCTACTACATCAAGGTGAGGGAGGCGGGGAGGGGAGTCCCACAGAGGGTACAGGTGGCTCCTCCTCCTCCTCCTCCTCCTCCTCCTCCTCCTCCTCCTCTTCCACCCCCAGGGGAGCTTGTAAAGAAGGGGATGGTGCATACTGCTGTCCAGGCTGGCCAGGGCAAACACACAAGACGCTGAAATAATGAAGCCAAAAGAGTGGCAGTTCGACTCAGGTAGTGGGGTACCTGCTCTGCAGCTCTAGGCGCTAAGCACAAACCCCATGCTGAAAAAGAACCAGAGCCACATGGCACAGCCAGGACAGTCCCGCGACGCTTCCTCCTTGCTCCTTGCATGCACGGAGACAGCCCCATCCTCTGCATTGCTCAGAAAGGCGCAGTATGGCTGAGACTCCTGGAGAACAGGGATGTGGGCCCAGCAAGGGCGGGAGTGAGCGTGGGTGCCACGCATGCCCGGAGGCTGTGCAGGTGGGCGCTGAGCTGAGTTGTGAAGGGGAGGGCAGCATGGTGGAAGAATTCTTCACAGTTCCCCACTCTGGGTTAGCTCATGGCCCAGTGGGGTCGGTGAGATGTGGGGAAACCAGGCCGGCAGCAGGGGACCTGAACTCTCAGCAGCTGCAACACAGGGCCTCTGGTGCAAGTGCGGCCCCATGGAGCGTGGCAGTATCTGCTGCAGCTGCAGAAGTTCACCAGGAATCCCAGGCAGGGCCTCGCCACGTGCCAACTTGGGGGGGTGTCTGGGAGGTGTGCCCAGCACCGCATTGCACATGCCTAGAAGAGGGAGAATCAAGTGACAGATGGCAGCGGGCATTCTCGTTGCCAGCTCCCAGGAGACGAGCCATCCCTGGATGCTTCCTCAGTTCAGGAGGCAGCGTGACGGGGACAGCTGCAGGAATGGCTGGATTCAGGAGCTGACTCGGAACGCACGTGGCGAGGAGGGAGCCACTAGGCCAATAGCCTAGGCCTAAGGAGGCCGGATGGACAAGCCTCAGAGCTGCCCCGAGCACGGCGCGCTCTCTCGTGCCGCCCAGACCCTCCGTGGCTGCTTCCTGCCATCTCCCACTCGCTAAGCCGCTCTGGACTTTGTGTGGACCCTGTGTGCCTCCCCGTACTGCCGGTACGGCCTGTGCTCCGGGCCTGCCCTCCCTGCCTCACACCTGCCCCCAAGGTCTTGGGGTGACCTGCTCATCAGCACTGGGGACCAAAAGACCTTTTTTTTTTTTAAGCTCCCATTTCGGCCGCTCAGGATGACTTCAGGTTTGAAGCATTCCTTCTCATTCTTACGATGTTCTTATTGAATAGGCAAATTGAAAGGAACGCAAACCTTGAAGTAATTCCTTGGCATAACAGGATCTTTTTAATAAACTGGGTCAATTACTCGCCCTGGATGAATACTTCTGGAATAATCTCCCCCCTGAGGACTTGAGGTTTTTTTCCGGCCATCTTCTCCATTGTGCCTCCATGCATTGGTGCCTGTGACTCTCGGAGCACCAAGAAGCTGGGCTTCTGTGAGAGCTGATGAGCACCCCTGCTGTTTGTGGCAGCTTATCACTCACCTTGCAAAGCCCAGCAAGTCCTTGGGGGCGTCAGCCACTGACCCCTCCTTCTACTGCTTTGTTTTCTCACTTGGAAAGACTGTCATGCCAGCAGAGCAGCCATTGTGGCTGCTGGTTCTACACAGAGTGGAGCGCGCTCTCCTACCTCCTCCCATCGGCTGTGTGTCACCCCCTGACTTTGAGATGATCTGTGGGGCGGTCCAAGCTCCCAGTCCAGCCTCACCGCATTGAGCACTGCTTCCATTTTCCTGTCCTAATGATAGCGAGCATTGGACATGACTTCTCAGCAGCATGCTTAATCTGTGCTCCTGTCAGGCTCTTGCCTTGCAGAAAACTTCTAGCCCTCCCAAAGAACGGATTCATTCAAAAACTACCCAGGGGCTTTCAGCATAAGCCAGAGGGTCGAGTTAGTCTCGGACTCAGAAGTGCTATGTCTGAGAAGGGCGAATCGTGGGTTATTTTGAATGCATCTCAGATGTCCACTGTGGGGACATCGGGAATGTGTGCTAGCAATTTTATATCATCAACTTTTTGGGGTTTGTTTTTTCTGCTGATCCCAGGGCTTGAACTCAGGTCCTGGGTGCTGTCCCTGAGCCTCTTTGTGCTCAAGGCTAGCACTCTACCACTGAAGCCCAAGCATACTTCTAACTTTTTCTGAATAGTTTATTACAGTCTCAAAGAGTTTCTTACCCAGACTGGTTTGGAAACACAATCCTCAGATCTCAGGCTCCTGAGTAGCTAGGATTCCCAGGCATGAGCCACCAGTACCCAGTCATCAATGCTTTTCTTTTATTTTTTATTTTTTATATTTTTATATTTTTTATTTTTATATTTTCTTTTATTTTTTATATTTGGTTGTGGGGCCTGAACTCTGGGCCTGGGCGCTGTCCCTCAGCTCTTCAGCTCAAGGCTAGCGCTCTACCACTTGAGCCACAGCACCACTTCCGGCTTTTTCTTTTTGCTTATGTGGTGCTGAGGAATCGAACCCAGGGCCTCATGCATGCAAGGCAAGCGCTCTACCACTGAGCCACCTTCCCAGCCTCAACACTTAAGAGCAACATTGCTTTGGTTGGCTAAGCACCCTGGCTGGGAGAGATCAGCCCAGTCTCTTTCTCCAGTGTGGCCCATGGACCCGGGGCCCTGAGAGACCACATGACTACCCGTCACATTCTCATTGCTGAAATCTGTTATGCTGTTCTATAGGTAAATACAGTCTCCCAACTTTTCTTCTCCTACAATGTCCCTTAAGAAAGAACATGTCTGCAATGGATTGGTTCTGTGCCTTGAGCCCAGCCGAGTCTCATGGGACACCCTACCCTGACCTGCCCTGCCCCGCCCTGCCCACCCTGCCCCTGCCTCAGACTCACCCGATTCTGCATTCCAGATAACCCTCCCAGCGTGTCACTCCCTCCTTGCAGAGCATCATCTACTACATGGTGGCCTCCCCAAAGCTGCTCTCCTGGGTGAAGAACGAGGCCCTCCTCAAGTCCCTGCAGTCCTTTGCCAAGTGGCATCACATCGAGCGTGACCTCGCCATGTTCCACATGAATATCGATGACGACTTCGTGCCATGCCTGCAGGGCATCACTCGGGCCAGCTTCTGCACTGCCTACCTGGAGTGGATCCAGTTCTGTGCAGGGAAGAGACAGGAGGTATGCGGGGCTGGGGCTCGGGCCACTCCTGGAAGGGACTGGCCACCGTCTGCCTCTGCTTCTGCTCCATGGCACGCCACAACCAGAGGTCGGGATACGTATTTATTAACGCTTAGGCAAAATTAAATAGGAGGGTTACCCGGGGCAGGGTCTGGGAAGGGAAGGCTGTGTGCGCCTTCAGCTCACATGCAGGGTCCACATGGTTTTGAGTCTCCAGGGGCAATGGAGACATCTTCGTTTAAATGTGTGTTTCGAGCTGGTCCCGCCATGTATTTCTGAGCTAGGGCAGGATGGTCTGTGCACCCCTCCACTCCCGGTCCTGCTGCTATGTTGAGTGATCAAATGGGTGGGCTCCCTGTGGAACTTGTTTTGTGTGGGGCTGTGACGATCACACCTGGGGAGGAACTTACCTCACAGGAATGAAGCCAGGAGGAGAGAGGCTGTATAGGAGGTAGGGAAGGAGGTTCTCATTGCTTCTTGGTGTTTGAAAGGTGGAGGTCAAGGTGCTGGTGGAAAAACTGAGCTCAGAGCTGAGGAAGGATGGGCAGTGTGCTCTCAGAAAGACCCTTGACCACAGCACCCACCCAGTGCTTCTTACTAAGTCACTGAGCAGGAAAGCTTAGAAATGTGCAGAACATGTGCATGGCAGAGGCTGCTTGGAGGGGGTGTGGGAGGCTCTCCTGCAGGCCTGGCCCTACTCCAGGGTGGGTGGTAGGCTTGGTCTGCAGAGATGGACCATCTTCCATCCCTTGTGAGACACCTGCAGTTCCCTGTGTGTCCTGTCCAGCTGAGCTATAGGTAACTCTCTGAAGGTGGCTTGTGGCTACTTCCCAGGGCCTGACCACTGGTCACAGTGAAGAGCCTCCCCTTGGAAATCCCAGAGAATCAGCTCACCACCCCTCAGCCTGGATGATTTCCTACCGTTCTCAGAGAGCCTGCCATGGCGGCTCCCAGCTGCTTCTGAGCGGTCAGGATGGCCCTCTGCCCCAGGCCGACACCATGCCAGCACCCCCTGGGTATGGAGAAGACTGACCTCGTGTCCTTCCTTTCAGCCTTCCAAGGCCCTGGGCAGCGTGGACAGCGACGAGGACTCCCCCCTGGTCACCTTGTCCTTCGCGCTGTGTATCCTGGGTAGACGAGCCCTGGGGACTGCCGCCCACAACATGGCCCTCAGGTGCCTGGGGGTGGGCTGCTCTGACGGGCAGACGCCCACTGTTCCCATTTGACCAAGTCTGTCTGTCCTTGTCTGGATTTTCAAGCCAGGCTGATAGATTTCTTTCAGATACTCTGCACAGTACATTGGGTTGGGCCTGCATGAGGATGTTTTTCAGCCCTGTGGTTCTCGTACATTCTGCACAGAAATACTATTAACACGGACAGGGATCCTGGGCCTCTGGCCTTGCAGACTTGCCCCGGTTAACTGGCTCCCCACATCGGCAGCATCCCGCCTGGTCCTCACAAAGTTGGCACTGGGGAAATGCCAGCTCCTGTCCCTCCTGTCCTCCAGGGGGCGACCTCTTCCCTGTGCATCTGCTCCCGGCCCTGTTTTGCCCATCACTGTGGGGCGCTGACAAGTGGAAGCCTCTCTCTGGTTTTCTCTGACTCTTTCTGTGAGATCACGCGCTCTGCATGGAGAGAACTCTAGCTTCTTTAAGAACAAAAACAAAGTTCCCCTCTCTCTGGGCACCTTGTCAGCCTCTACCGCTCAGGTGGGGTCCCTCCGGCCACCGTCCAGCCTCTGCAGCGGCCTCTGACCTCCAGCCACAGTGCTCTGAATAATCTGCCTCCTAATGCCCCGAGCAGGGGCCACTGCACCACTGCTTTGGTACTGGCCCCTGGAGACAGGAGGTTCTGAAGTCTGCCTGCCCATGCAACCTATCACCTTGATAGGCAGCTCCTCCCTGGACGTAGGTCCTCCTCCCGGCCCTCCCTCAAGGAGGCAGGCCTGCTGGGAGCTCTGTGGGCACAGCCCCTCCATCTGTCAGCATGCCGGTGGCTACAGTAACAGATTTCCTCACCCTTGTACTCTGCCCGAGGCTGTTCTGAGTCCTGACATCCTCTTCACACAAGGATGGACTCTATTTTTAATTTATTGCAATTACATTTACGTCCAGACTAAGAGTGGCTCACAATCTGTGTGCACAGATGTGTGTGTGCGTGTGTGTGTGTGTTTGTGTGTGTGTGTGTGCACGCACGTGCGTGAACGTCATCCCTGCGTTGTTTCCCAGTGAGGAGTAGGCACTTGGCATCGTTCTCACATTTCCCATCTCAGGGTCCCAGGTGACCTCCTCAGAAGTTACATCTCTGGCCCCCGTTGTCAGTCCTGTCTCAGCAGGTTGATCTGTCAGGGTCCCCATACCTGACTGCAGGGCCAGCCTCCCGGAGCTCTGCTGAGTGCAGGGTCATCTTCCTTCCCGTGTGGGGACAGCCCTGAACTTGGGATGGCGGGGTTGGCAGCCTGTGTTAGGGGTGCACTGCAGTCATGCATCTGTTTTGCAGCCTGGACTCCTTCCTGTATGGTCTGCACACCCTCTTCAAAGGCGACTTCAGGGTGGCGGCGCCAGATGAGTGGGTGTTTGCTGACATGGACCTGCTGCACAAAGTGGTGGCTCCCGCCATCAGGATGTCCCTGAAACTACACCAGGTAATAGCCCATGGCCACTCAACTGCCCACTTACTTATTCTCAACTGGAGCTTGAACTCAGGACCTCAAGCACACTAGCCCAGAGTTCCACCACTCAAAACCCTTTTGCTTTAATTTTGTTTCTGAGTAAGAGTCTCACTACTATTATCAGGGCTGGTACAGAATGGGTGAACTTTCTTCCCCTTAGTAGCTGGATTATAGGCATTCACTACCACGCCCAACCGGTAAAACCCACTTCTAAAAAAAAAAAGTAGAAAGCTGAAACTCTAGGGGGAAACAGCTTTTGAAAATGGTGTGCCCTTCCCTGGCTTGACCTTGGTAATGGAGTCACCACTCGGCTAACAAAGCCTGGCACCGACCAATGGCTAGTGACCCTCAGGAGCTGCTAGGGGAGGGTTGCTATCCACCGGGAAGGAAGAGGGGTGTCTCTCAAGACAGTGGCATGGAATATCCCAAACACAGAGGTCTCAGCTCCCAAGATGCTTCCTGGCCAGACACCATTGGCACCATTGGCAAGGGCCTGGGATCAGCCAAGGAGTTACACTTGGCACCCAGCTCTGGATGTAGAGCAAGGGGTGAGGGGAGGAAGAGTATGGCCTTCAAGGTCACTGTCTGTCCTGAGCACTCCCGGGTCAAGCCTCCCTGGGCTTGTGTGAGGTCCTCCCACCAGGTTGGCTCCTCCTACCATATTAGCTCCCCCCACTACATCAGCTCCTCCCTCAACATCAGCATCTCCCACTACGTCGGCTCTTCCCACCAGGACCAGTTCACCTGCCCGGATGAGTATGAGGACCCAGCAGTCCTGTTCGAGGCCATCCAGGCCTTTGAGAAGAAGGTGGTAATTTGCCACGAGGGTGACCCTGCGTGGCGGGGCGCAGTGCTGTCCAACAAGGAGGAGCTGCTCACGCTGCGGCATGTGGTGGACGAGGGCGTGGATGAGTACAAGGTCATCATGCTGCACCGGGGCCTCCTGAGCTTCAAGGTGATCAAGGTGAGACCTGTCCTCCTGCATGGCTGCAAGAATACTCCGACTCCAGGCTCAGGACCTCTGCTCAGGGCCTTGTGCGCAGAGCACGGCTGGCCACGGGGAGCTGCAGCCGCGGCAGGGCCCTGTCCTGCCCCCCAGATACCATGAGCCACGAGTCCCGGCGGGGACCGAAACCTGGCTCATTTCCAGACCTGGTGATTTTCACCTTGAGTCCACACCCACCATCAGCCATCACTTTCTGGATCCACACACTCATTCTCTCTGGTCTCCTCAGAACTTTGATCCAAACCCCCGACTCCCAACAATTAAAACTGAATTTCATTTTTATTTCCCCTCAGTTTTCCTGATGGCTTCACACCCATGGCCCACGCCCAGGGCCCTGCTCACTTACCGTGGCTAAAGCCACAGCTGAAACCATGCTGCCTCCTCTCCCTGCAGGTGAACAGGGAGTGTGTCCGAGGGCTCTGGGCCGGCCAGCAGCAGGAGCTCATCTTCCTCCGTAACCGCAACCCAGAGCGTGGAAGCATCCAGAACAACAAGCAGGTCCTGCGCAACCTCATCAACTCCTCCTGCGACCAGCCCCTGGGCTATCCCATGTACGTGTCCCCGCTGACCACGTCCTACCTGGGGACCCACAGGCAGCTGCAGAGCATCTGGGGTGGGCCCATCTCACTGGGCAGCGTCACCACCTGGTTCCGGGCCAGGTGGCTGAGGTAGGACTTCATGACGGGGGCCTGTGCCTGAACGCTGGGGGCGGAGGGTTGGCGGGAAGAGTTCCTGTGCCGTTAGAATGTCTGCGCTGATCACAGTCGGTTCACGTGCGTAAGACAGCTAGCTGCACCCAAGGGTCTTCTAACAGTCCCATGTCCAGCATGCCGTCCCGAGGGTCAGGGGGAAACACCATCTGTTTCCTCCCTCCAGCCCCCGGCTGCAGTCCTCCTGTGTCTCGGTTCACTGTGTCTGGGAGCTTTGGGGGTGATTGCCACCTCTGCTGGTGACAGCCAGCCCAGAGCCCCTGCCATGGGCCACTCAGGTTCCTCATTGTCATGAGCTCTGTCTGATGGCGGCGCTGCTCCCCGGGAGGTGGTCAACGAAGCCATGGGTTCTTGTGGAAGGCTGACCGAGGTGCTGGAGTGAAGAAACAAAGCCTCTGCCCACCCATACGCAGAGGAGCTTGTCACCCAGCGAGCGAGGTTCCATCCACTGCAGACATGGCTGTCGTGGGATTCCACAAATCAGACATGGCTGCTGTGGGATTCTAAGGCCCAGACACCACTGTGGTGGGATTCCAGGGTTCAGACCTGGCTGTATGGGGTTCCAGGGCCCAGACACAGCTGTGGTGGGATTCCAGGGTTCAGACCTGGCCATGTGGGGTTCCAGGGTTCAGACACTGCCACGGTGGGGTTCCAGGGTTCAGACCTGGCCGTGTGGGGTTCCAGGGCCCAGACACAGCTGTGGTGGGATTCCAGGGTTCAGACCTGGCCGTGTGGGGTTCCAGGGCCCAGACACAGCTGTGGTGGGATTCCAGGGTTCAGACCTGGCCGTGTGGGGTTCCAGGGCCCAGACACAGCTGTGGTGGGATTCCAGGGTTCAGACCTGGCCGTGTGGGGTTCCAGGGCCCAGACACAGCTGTGGTGGGATTCCAGGGTTCAGACACCGCCACGGTGTGGTTCCAGGGTTCAGACCTGGCCGTGGTGGCTGTCGAGTGTGGTATCATGCATCAGTTGTTGTCAGGATGCATTTCACAGAAGGTTGTGGGTGGCTCAGCCCCTGCCTAGGGCTGCTGGGCTGGCCCTGGGTGCCCTCAGCTACACCATTGTGAGCAGGTGACCATTCCAGGGGCAACAAGGACACCCCAAGGCCTCTCCCCCCACAGAATGCGGAAGGACTGCAGCGCTGGCCAGCGTAGTGGCGGCATTGAGGAAGGGGATGCAGGCGGGGCAGCGCCCGGCAGCCAGGCCCCGTGTACTGACAGCCGGGAGAGCGGTGTGGACCAAGCCAGAAAAGGGGGCGCCCAACGCTGGCCCTCACCGCTAGCAGGGCCTCCAAGGACAGGTGGGTGTGGCAGGACCTGCGGTCCAGCGTCGTGGGAGGGCGGCTCTGCTGCGGGTGTCCAGTGTGTGCACCCGTGGACACGAGGCCCCCCTCCCTCTCCAGACAAGTGGCTCCCTCTCCCGCCCTCCTTCCCACCCTCTCTGCTGCTGCCAACATCCAGAGAGTGAGGAAGGACGGGAGGAAGGGCACTGGGGGTAGAAGCCAGGAAGACAGACTCGAAAGCTTAAAGCCTGTTTCACCAAGCCGGCTCTGCCAGCTGGCTGTGGCTCTGGCATCGCTGTGGCCTGGGAGGAGGCGCTGGCTGGCAGCGGAGCCCAGGGCCTGCTGGGAGCCTCCCATGGGGACACAGCTGGGGCCAGAAGCACTGGCCTGGCTCCCGCTGCTCCCAGCCCCACCTTCTGCAGTCATCCTCTGCCCTCAGTGCTCCCTTCTGCCCCTTCCAGAAGGATTTAATACACTGGGCACGCTCGCCCTGCCCGCTCCGCACCAGCTCCCGAGAGGCCCAGAGCAGGCCAGGGCACTGCGGTGGTGGAGTTATGTAATGTGGACAAGATGGGAGGGAGAGAGGGACAGAGAGAGAGAGGGAAGGGGGAGAGAGACAGAGCAAGAGAGAGAGGAGAGGGAGGGAGTCAGAGATGATAGATGGATAATAGCCGTGTGTGAGAGACGAATAGTGGGATAGTGGGACAGACGATAGGTAATAGGATGGTAATAGATTAGAAAGAGACAGGGGGCAGGTAGATGATGATTGACAGGTCACAGATGGAACTGAAGGCAGGTGTGGAGATGGCCTGGTTGACAGGCAAAGGGGCAGATGTGGGCTGCTCAGGAGCAAGCATGAAGCTCTGCCCTTGCGCGCATTCCTCTGCCCCAGCCCAGCTCCCCCTCACCCCTGCCTCCATCCAGCCCAGCTCCCCCCGCACCCCTGCCTCCATCCAGCCCAGCTCCCCCCGCACCCCTGCCTCCATCCAGCCCAGCTCCCCCCGCACCCCTGCCTCCATCCAGCCCAGCTCCCCCGCACCCCTGCCTCCACCCCAGCCCAGCTCCCCCAACACCCCTGCCTCCACCCCAGCTCCCCCTGCACCCCTGCCTCCATCCAGCCCAGCTCCCCCCGCACCCCTGCCTCCACCCTGAGCTCAGCTCCCCCAACACCCCTGCCTCCATCCAGCCCAGCTCCCCCCGCACCCCTGCCTCCACCCCAGCCCAGCTCCCCCCGCACCCCTGCCTCCATCCAGCCCAGCTCCCCCCGCACCCCTGCCTCCATCCAGCCCAGCTCCCCCTGCACCCCTGCCTCCACCCTGAGCTCAGCTCCCCCAACACCCCTGCCTCCACCCCAGCTCCCCCCGCACCCCTGCCTCCACCCCAGCCCAGCTCCCCCCGCACCCCTGCCTCCACCCTGAGCTCAGCTCCCCCTCACTCCTGCCTCCATCCAGCCCAGCTCCCCCCGCACCCCTGCCTCCATCCAGCCCAGCTTCCCCCGCACCCCTGCCTCCACCCCAGCCCAGCTCCCCCTGCACCCCTGCCTCCATCCAGCCCAGCTCCCCCTGCACCCCTGCCTCCATCCAGCCCAGCTCCTCCCCGCACCCCTGCCTCCACCCTGAGCTCAGCTCCCCCAACACCCCTGCCTCCACCCTGAGCTCAGCTCCCCCAACACCCCTGCCTCCACCCCAGCTCCCCCCGCACCCCTGCCTCCACCCCAGCCCAGCTCCCCCCGCACCCCTGCCTCCACCCTGAGCTCAGCTCCCCCAACACCCCTGCCTCCATCCAGCCCAGCTCCCCCCGCACCCCTGCCTCCACCCCAGCCCAGCTCCCCCAACACCCCTGCCTCCACCCCAGCCCAGCTCCCCCCGCACCCCTGCCTCCACCCCAGCCCAGCTCCCCCTGCACCCCTGCCTCCATCCAGCCCAGCTCCCCCTGCACCCCTGCCTCCATCCGGCCCAGCTCCTCCCCGCACCCCTGCCTCCACCCTGAGCTCAGCTCCCCCAACACCCCTGCCTCCACCCTGAGCTCAGCTCCCCCAACACCCCTGCCTCCACCCCAGCTCCCCCCGCACCCCTGCCTCCACCCCAGCCCAGCTCCCCCCGCACCCCTGCCTCCACCCTGAGCTCAGCTCCCCCAACACCCCTGCCTCCATCCAGCCCAGCTCCCCCCGCACCCCTGCCTCCACCCCAGCCCAGCTCCCCCCGCACCCCTGCCTCCACCCCAGCCCAGCTCCCCCCGCACCCCTGCCTCCACCCTGAGCTCAGCTCCCCCTGCACCCCTGCCTCCACCCCAGCTCCCCCTGTACCCCTGCCTCCATCCAGCCCAGCTCCCCCTGCACCCCTGCCTCCACCCCAGCCCAGCTCCCCCCTCACCCCTGCCTCCACCCCAGCCCAGCTCCAACACCCCTGCCTCCATCCAGCCCAGCTCCCCCCTCACCCCTGCCTCCACCCTGAGCTCAGCTCCCCCAACACCCCTGCCTCCACCCTGAGCTCAGCTCCCCCAACACCCCTGCCTCCATCCAGCCCAGCTCCCCCCGCACCCCTGCCTCCACCCCAGCCCAGCTCCCCCCGCACCCCTGCCTCCACCCCAGCCCAGCTCCCCCCGCACCCCTGCCTCCACCCTGAGCTCAGCTCCCCCTGCACCCCTGCCTCCACCCCAGCTCCCCCTGTACCCCTGCCTCCATCCAGCCCAGCTCCCCCTGCACCCCTGCCTCCATCCAGCCCAGCTCCCCCCTCACCCCTGCCTCCACCCTGAGCTCAGCTCCCCCAACACCCCTGCCTCCACCCCAGCCCAGCTCCACCCGCACCCCTGCCTCCACCCCAGCCCAGCTCCCCCAACACCCCTGCCTCCACCCCAGCCCAGCTCCCCCAACACCCCCGCCTCCACCCCAGCCCAGCTCCCCCCGCACCCCTGCCTCCACCCCAGCCCAGCTCCCCCCGCACCCCTGCCTCCACCCTGAGCTCAGCTCCCCCAACACCCCTGCCTCCACCCCAGCCCAGCTCCCCCAACACCCCTGCCTCCACCCCAGCCCAGCTCCCCCCGCACCCCTGCCTCCACCCCAGCCCAGCTCCCCCCTCACCCCTGCCTCCACCCTGAGCTCAGCTCCCCCAACACCCCTGCCTCCACCCCAGCCCAGCTCCCCCCACACCCCTGCCTCCATCCTGAGCTCAGCTCCCCCAACACCCCTGCCTCCACCCCAGCCCAGCTCCCCCAACACCCCTGCCTCCACCCCAGACCAGCTCCCCCCGCACCCCTGCCTCCACCCTGAGCTCAGCTCCCCCAACACCCCTGCCTCCACCCCAGCCCAGCTCCCCCAACACCCCTGCCTCCACCCCAGCCCAGCTCCCCCCGCACCCCTGCCTCCACCCCAGCCCAGCTCCCCCCGCACCCCTGCCTCCACCCCAGCCCAGCTCCCCCCGCACCCCTGCCTCCATCCAGCCCAGCTCCCCCTGCACCCCTGCCTCCACCCTGAGCTCAGCTCCCCCAACACCCCTGCCTCCACCCCAGCTCCCCCCGCACCCCTGCCTCCACCCCAGCCCAGCTCCCCCCGCACCCCTGCCTCCATCCAGCCCAGCTCCCCCCGCACCCCTGCCTCCACCCTGAGCTCAGCTCCCCCAACACCCCTGCCTCCACCCCAGCCCAGCTCCCCCCTCACCCCTGCCTCCACCCTGAGCTCAGCTCCCCCAACACCCCTGCCTCCACCCCAGCCCAGCTCCCCCAACACCCCTGCCTCCACCCCAGCCCAGCTCCCCCCGCACCCCTGCCTCCACCCCAGCCCAGCTCCCCCAACACCCCTGCCTCCACCCCAGCCCAGCTCCCCCCTCACCCCTGCCTCCACCCTGAGCTCAGCTCCCCCAACACCCCTGCCTCCACCCCAGCTCCCCCAACACCCCTGCCTCCACCCCAGCTCCCCCTGCACCCCTGCCTCTGCCCTGAGCCCAGCTCCCCCAACACCCCTGACTCCACCCCAGCTCCCCCTGTACCCCTGCTTCCACCCCAGCCCAGCTCCCCCTGCACCCCTGCCTCCACCCCAGCTCCCCCCCGCACCCCTGCCTCCACCCCAGCTCCCCCTGTACCCCTGCCTCCGCCCCAGCCCAGCTCCCCCTGTACCCCTGCCTCCACCCAACCCAGCTCCCCCTGTACCCCTGCCTCCACCCAACCCAGCTCCCCCTGTACCCCTGCCTCCACCCAACCCAGCTCCCCCCTCACCCCTGCCTCCACCCCAGCCCAGCTTCCCCCTGTACCCCTGCCTCCACCCTGAGCTCAGCTCCCCCTGCACCCCTGCCTCCACCCCAGCCCAGCTCCCCCTATACCCTTGCCTTTGCCAAGCCCAGCCTCCCCACCTTAAGGATCCCAGAGATTCTTATTGTTTTCTTAACTTTCGTTATCCAGTGAAAACCGTGTCTCCAGATCACAAGGGTGGGAAGTGCACAGAGGCCCCAGGGCGAGGTGCCCAGTCCCTCTTGTGTGTGTGTGTGTGTGTGTGTGTGTGTGTATACAGAGCCAGGCTGCATCCATCTGCAGGGGTGGGAGGGGCCTGGTGAGCCTCTTCCTTGTGAGCAAAGTGGAGTGGCCCCTGTGGAGGGCCCTGTGTGCGGTGTGGTGGTCCTGTGATGTGGCGGGTCTCGTGGTGTGGTGGGCCCTGCATGCAGTGTGGCAGGTCCTATGGTGTGGCAGCCCCATGACGTGGCGGTCCCGTGGTGTGGCGGCCCTATGGTGTGGCGGCCCTGTGGTGTGGGGGTCCCGTGGTGTGGTGGCCCTGTGGTGTGGCGGCCCTGTGGTGTGGCAGTCCCGTGGTGTGGGGGTCCCGTGGTCACGTGATGGTCACGTGGTATGGCAGGCCCTGTGGTGTGGCGGTCGCGTGGGGTGGTGGGTCCCGTGGTGTGGCAGGTCCCACAGTGTGGTGGTCCTGTGGGGTGGTGGGCCCCGTGGTGTGGCGGGTCTCGTGGTGCGGCGGGCCCTGCATGCAGTGTGACGGGTCCTGTGGTGTGGCAGCCACATGGTGTGGCGGGTCCCGTGGTGTGGTGGGTCCCGTGGTGTGGGGGTCCCGTGGTGTGGCGGCCCTGTGGTGTGGCAGTCACATGGTGTGGCGGGTCCCGTGGTGTGGGGGTCCCGTGGTGTGATGGGCCCCGTGGTGTGGCGGTCGCGTGGGGTGGTGGGTCCCGCGGTGTGGCAGGTCCCACAGTGTGGTGGTCCTGTGGGGTGGTGGGCCCCGTGGTGTGGCGGGTCCCGTGGTGTGGCGGGCCCTGTGGTGTGGTGGGTCCCATGGTGTGGCGGCCCTGTGGTGTGGCAGTCACATGGTGTGGTGGGTCCCGTGGTGTGGCAGGTCCTGTGGTGTGGTGGGTCTTGTGGTGTGGTGGTCCTGTGGTGTGGTGGGTCCCGTGGTGTGGTGGCCCCGTGGTGTGGTGGCCCTGTGGTGTGGCGGATCCCATGGTGCGGCGGTCCCGTGGTGTGGCAGGTCCCATGGTGTGGCGGGTCCCGTGGTGTGGTGGCTCCTGTGGCGGCCCTGTGGTAGCTGGACTGCGCAGAGTCTAACCCTCGGCAGTGGCCCCTCCTACCCCCTTCCTCCTCCTGCCAGGCCCTAGCAGGGTGCCATTGGCCATGCTCAGGGCAGATGCTGGGGTGAGATCTTCAAGCCAGCAGTCACTGTCTCATGGCTTGTTAACGCCTCCCTGCATCCCACGTTGTTCAGTACCGGCAGGTTTTCTCAAATCCAGCCCTGAGAAGAAAAACAGCATGAGATGGGGCAGGCCTGCCTGGCCGGCCATCCAGGACTTTAGTCAGCCCAGCTTCTCTGGCCTCTGTATCTTCCAGAGGAGTCAACAACCCTGTGCGTCTGTGTGGAGACACAGTGATAAGAGGAAGGCAGCTCTGCCAGGTAGGCTGGAGAGTGCCGGGCTCCAGTCACCAGGAAGGAGTGCCTGGCCCCTGATCTCTGCACTAGGCCTACACAGCGGAAGAGCCATCTTTATCGCCTCCACCCACCGGCAGATGCACAGCCGGGAGCCTCAAGCTCACCATGGCTCTTGATCTCCCCCAGGGGCTCCAGTAGCCAAGATTAGGAAACTCTGAGCCCACTTCACACTCTCCAGGGCTCCCAGGCCCAGTTCCAGGCAGGGCTCCCCACCAGGGCGGTTCAGCAGGCCTTAGCATGACCGCCGCGCTGTGTGCTGCACACCACTGTGACGGGCCAGGCACTGTGCTTCAGAAAGTCCAGGGCAAATAGAGGATCCATCAGCCAGGGCGCCCTGCGGGAACGCTGGGCCCTGGAGGGGATGGGCCCAGAAGCAGAGACTGGGCCCTGGAGGGGGCGGGCCCAGAGGCAGAGGCTAGCCCCTGGAGGGGGCAGGCACAGGCCTCTGTGAGGCAGTAGTAGTCCTTGGGGAAGAGGACAAAGAAACTCAGTCAAGCAGCAGTAAGCGACCAGTTCTGGGAAGGATGCTGAACCACGCTGGCCAGGCCTCTGGGCACTCCCAGTGACCATAGCTAACTGTAGTATATATACCTTCTCTACTCCCGGCCTCTTTCCCCACCACAACCCCCTGTCGAGCTCCTCCTGAGCATAGGGACAGGTGTCCTGCCTGAGCCTACCCAGAGGGCGCCTCTGCCGGCACCGTACTGCAGCCCTGTGGGTGATCTGGGCACTTGCCACCTGCCCAATGCCACCCTGGGCTAGGCCTGACAGCTGCCATCTCCTCTGTGTTACAGCCAAAGGAGAGCTGGCCCCACAGCGGGGCTGTGACCTGCTTATGTGAGCCCTGCAGACCCCCCGCTGACCCTCACAGTCCAGCAAGGCTGGATCTTGTATGCTTAGGCTCTCCAGAGAATGGCCAGTGAGCAAGCTAAGGAACCGAGAGGCAGGACTACCCTTCCATTCAGGTCTGAGGATTTTGTCTAGAAACACCAGACTTTGGTGGATTGTAAAATCATGAGCCTGAGTAGCAAAAATGGGTTTAGCATGGTTCTCTTACTTTACGGTGCTGCTTCACTTGCAACATTAAAATGGAAAAATGAAGGGTATTAGTAGCCATAGAATGCGGGGTCCTTGGTGGATAGCCCCCCCCTCCCGCCCCTCTGCACACAGAAGGCCCTCATCCCCTTGTTCTGGACCTGCTAGGAGCCCTCCATCTGCAGGGAGCCTTTGACCTGTGGAGAGAAGTGGAGAAATCGGGACACCATAGACAGGGTCTAAAGAAACGGACAAACCTTCAACCTCGACTCTGAGGCCAGGGACTTGTTTCTCCTTATTTCCCCAGGAGGAGCCACTCTGTGAGACCTCAGCCCAACCCTCAGGCCATGGGCACTGGGGCTAAGTGCCCTAGGGAGGCCAGCACCGGCCCTGGGGACCCCCAAACACACATTTCTCTCAGTCTACAGGCAGGAGAAACCACAGCAGGCACTGCACATCCACCCCGGCCCCGCTCAAGCCCCACGCTGGCCAGCGGGTGCCCCATGCACCTACAGGCGCAGACACTCCCGCCACCTGGCGGGAAACACACTGTGTTTCGTTCCGTGTGAGACCCACACGTGTTCTGTCTCAGCCCCTAACTGGCACGTCTGTGGCACACAGCATGTGACACGCATCCACATGGGCAGTGAGCAGACGCAGGAGTGAATGAGCACTTCCATCTCTCCTGACACTATTCCCATGTGGGTAACTTACACGCCCTTCTGCACAATTACCTTGAAATGGGTCGCAAATAGTTGTCAGCTGCCATGACTCTGCCGTGCTCCCTCAGGCCCTTCTGACCCGGCTGTATTCAGAGCCCTTGAAAGGGGAGTAGGCCCCCTGTTCACCGTGGCACCTCTCTTCTCTCTCCTGGCTGACCGGCTCTCCTCCTCTCTGACCTTCAGGTAGGACGAAGGGCCGGAGCCAGTCTGTCCAGCCACACACAGCGCTCAGCCAGAGGCCGGCTGTCCTGAGCTCCTCCGGGCCCCTGGTGGAGGGCCGCCAGGCCTTCCTGCAGACGTCCTCCTCTGTGCACGAGCTGGCCCAGCGGCCCTTGGGCAGCCGGCTCTCCTTGCACACCTCAGCCGCGTCCCTGCACTCCCAGCCACCCCCTGCCAGCGCCGCGGGTCACCTGAGTGTTCGGGAGCGGGCTGAGGCTCTCATCCGGTCCAGCCTGGCCTCCTCCACTAGCTCCACTCTCAGCTTCCTCTTCGGCAAGAGGAGCTTCTCCAGCGCCCTGGTCATCTCCGGGCTGTCGGCCGCTGAGGGGGGCAACACCAGCGACACCCAGTCTTCCAGCAGTGTCAACATCGTGATGGGCCCCTCGGCCAGGGCTGCGGGCCAGGCCACTCGGGTGAGGGCCACAGTGGGCGCGGGAGGGAAGGCGGCGGCGATATGATGGCCGCAGAGGGTCACACCTGGAGCATATCCAGTGCCTTTCCAGGTCCACACCATCTCCTGCCTGTGTTCATAGAGCGGGAGCCGGTGCTCAAAGGACAGGGCTGCACCCAAGACCATGCCTGTCGTCCCTGGGGTGCGGCTGGGCCCTGAGAGCCAGGCTCTGCCTGCACTTCAATGCCCATTTCCCCACAACCCCCCCCTTCTTTCCCCACCCTTCCCAGCATGAGCCCCACTCTACGAGTGTCCTTCTGGGATCCCGGCAATGAATTCTGGTAAGGGTGAGGGGGGTCTGAGACCCCCAGCACCCACACTGCAGGAGCTCTGTGTCACGCCTGGGGTGGGGCCTGCAGGGAATGGTGACCCCCACGTGCCTGGGCTCTGGCTGGGAGGCAATGCCAACGCAAGGCAGAGTGGGCTCACAAGGTCTCAGTGACCGCCTGGAGGTCCTGTCATTGGCCTGGCTTCACGACACCTTCCCCCAGGATCTGGGGACCCCAGCCCCGGTTCCCACAGCATGGACGGGACAGAGGGAGGGCCGGCCAGGGTACAAACGTGGCTGAGCTGCCCCGCTTCTCTCTTCTCTTGGAAGCATCACTCCGAGCCGTGCGACCCCACGGAGGCTGCTGAGCAGCGCCGGCTGCATGAGGGCCGTCTGGCCGAGAACCCAGGCATGATGTGTAGAAGAGCCAGCCAGGAAGACATGGGCCTGGATGACACGGCCTCCCAGCAGAGTGCCTCCGACGAGCAGTAGCGTGCTGGCTCTGATAGGGGAGGAGACGCCACAGCTCACCTCTGCTCCACCCCCCCCCCCCCCGCCCTCCCCAAGACCCAAACCAAAAGAGCCCCTTCTGCAGCATGCTCTGCGGCATGCGAGATCGCCAGGGGAAACGAGAACTAGTCTAGAAGACAGAATAGGTTTATCTCAGGTTCTGAAAAACAAAAAAAAAAGTAACATGACTGGGTGTGGGGCAGAGGGAAGACACCACAGCCCCACACCAGCCCCGCACAGGAATCTGATGTTTCAAACAAAAGCCAGGTAGTATTTCCAATAGAGCACACAGAGCGATGCCACTCCATCCCGCCCCAAGGACAGCAGGTCAACGCATGCTAGCTAGCCGGCACCCTGTGCTCACTCTCATCACCCTGAGACTTAGTGCACAACAGTCCCCCGACCCATCTGTGGGTCCCATGCATTGCAGTGAAACCTCAGCGCAAGGAAACCTTGTCTCCCAAGTGGCTGACAGAAAACTCAGGCAGCCTCGGTGGCAGCACTGCCCAAACGAGGTCCTGCCTCCCCCAAGGAGCAGCAGGGGAGGGTCAGGGGGAGTTCAGAAGGAGCCACCCAGGCTGCCCTGGGCCGTGGAGCTCCTGCGTGCTCCCCAGGAATGCATGCCTGTCTTCCGTGCTCCCCGGGAATGCATGTGTCTTCCGTGCTCCCCGGGAGTGCATGCCTGTCTTCCAAGCACATTTGCACACACTTCTCTTCAGGAAGTAAAATGTTTACAGAGGCTGCTGTGTTTGTCTATCTACTGCCTGCGTTCTGCCAAAACCGCTTCTCATTGCTGATTGAGTGAGAATGGCACATGGGTGAGTCCCCAGAGCACTTCCTGGTCTCAGGACACCTGCCAAGGGAGAGCAGAGCCTAGAATCTTGCTCACGTGGAGGGGGACAGGTCCTGAAACCCAGAGGGTGAAGATCAGAGCCACTGGCCGGCTGTGCTTCTTCAGGAAGACAGTACGGAGAGGGGCCAGGCACAAAATGTCTACAGTGCTTCTAGGCATTCTAAGCTGGGAGCTGGAAGAGCAGGTAGCAGAAAACCCCTTATATGGGGAAGTGAGTGAACACTCCCCTTCCCAACCTTCCCTCTCCCTCCTCAGCTCCCCCCCTCCTCCCTTCTACCTTCCTCCTCTCCCATCTATTTCCCTCTCTTCCCCCTCCCCCTTTTCTCTTCAAGGTAAGAATGAGCTACTAATAACCCTGTACTAGCAATTAATAGCCCTGTAATAGTAATCAATAGCTCTATAATCAGAAAGTGTCATCACTACAGTCGCTACACTGGTTTATCGGCAGCTGTCTGTCAGGAGAGGCAGATGCCGCTACTGTGTCCACGTGGCTGGCTCTGGATACCTCCCAGCACCCAGAACTGAACGCTGCCCGAGGCCAGAGGCGCGATGCAGCCCCACCTTGGCTGTATCCTGGAGTTCAGTTAAAATGGCAGGCACTCGGCAGCACCAGAGCTCATCCAGCTGGTCTAGGGCACCCAAGAAAGGGAAAGCTCCCCAAAGAGATCGGTCAGACCTGGGGCACCCCCTCCCTGGCAGGCTCTCATTCACGTGCTGAGCACTGGCTCTCCCCCAAGGGAAGAGGTTGAGGCCCTCCAGGGTTCCCATGGCCCGCTGCTCCACACAGCCACAGAGGCAGGACGTGTGACACACACCTACAATCCTAGCCACACAGGAGGCAGAAGCAGGGGGACGAAGGTCCAAGGATGATTTGTGTGAAAAACAAAAACAAAAAGAAACAAAAAAAGGAAAAGAAAAAGAATGTGGGGGGGGGGGGGTAAGGGAGGACCCGTGGTAGAGCACCTGCCCAGCAATCTCAAAGCCCTTTGTTCACATCTTAGCACCACATTGGGTTGTATGGTGGTGGTCACCCTTCCCCAGTACAGCTAGGAGCGGCCAGGTCTCAGGAGACAGCCGGGCTTCCAGCCGTGCAGATGGGCCCAGCCAGGCAGAGTCCTTCTTTGAGCTAGCAACGCTCAAATAAATGGTCTGTTAGCGCAGTGCTGAAGTTCTTTCGTGCATCCGCACAAGGAGCAAAGCAAACTGTTTCTCCTCTAAATGTAAAAATTGCAGCCTTTAGTTTACATAAACCAGGCGGCTGTGACACCAATTAAACTCAGTGCCCTGAGGCGTCTGTCAGCTCTCAGGCCCAGAGGGCAGCGTCTCTGTGCCCCTGGCCTCCACCCCTACAAGGCCTGTGCCCCTGGCCTCCTCCACCTGGCTGCTGCTCCCACGGCCTGTGCTACATGGGACCGCCAGGGCCGCACGAGTGCAGCTCCAAGGTCAAGCGACCTCACCACCAAGTGCTGCTGGTAACAACTTGCAGCATTTCTGGGACAGGACCATCAAAAGACCACATTCTGCTGATTTGACTTGTCTCCCTGCACGAGCTCTGCCTTATTTGGAGAAGAAAAGGGGTTTGCTCCAGTACCCACAGGGCCATTGGCCCGGCCTGCTGGGGTGGGGGCCACTCGAAGTCCTCCACTCCCCTTCATGACCTCTCCTCCAGCGTCTTCTTCACATAAACACCACCACTATATTGATGTCCTTCGTTGTATTCCCTGCTCTGTGTGTGGCTTTGTGCCTAACCTCTTTGTACATGCTCCCGACCACCGTGTGACCCTGCAAACCTCTAGACCCTCACCCAGTGACCAAGGGTCCTGCCAGCCTGCGCCAGGACCACCCGGTGAGTATTGATGTGAGTCCCTGGCCCCGGGGGTCCTCCCCACTACCCCAGCATCGCCAGGGGCCACTGCCTGTCTGCACCTCACTTGGAGCCCAGGCACTGAGGAGCAGCTGGCACCGCTTCCATGGGGTACACTGCCCTCACCCATCTCCCCACCTCCCTAGAGGGAAAACAAGGCCAGAGCTACACCCAGGGAACAGGCAGGGGTGACCAGCCCTCGCCTCCACTGCACCCCGACTCCTGGGCAGGGCGGGGCAGGGTGACAGGCCCGCATCTCCACCTGCTGCAAGCATTCCTCCCACAGGAGGATGCTGTGGCCTGATCATCACAGATTTCCACATTAATAAGAAAAGGAATAAACGAGAGACAGGTGAGAGAAGCGGAAATGGCTTTCTTCAGAGAAAATAGGAATATCAAGCGTTGCTCAAGCTGCTGAGACTGAAACACCTGGAGAGGTGGTCGGCTTTCACGACACGGGAAGCTAATCAGGAAGTGAATTCCTCTCCCCATCAACGTGCTTATGAAGGCAGGGGAGGGGGGCCTCTACCAAAGACTCCAGCCTCTCCCCCCATAATTCCATAATCTGTCCCAATCACATGCATGAGTGCAAGAGGAAATACACAGAAATCCTTACACATAAACAAACCATGGAGACGGCCTGTCACGCAAGCCACCCAATACCAGGCAAGTTCAGTCTTGAACATCTCAGGGAAAGCTGCCCAGCTGCTCAAGCAAAGTCCCAAGGTCTCCGAGCCTGGAGGCTGAGCCCAGCAGGCAGGCGGTGCTGGACTAGACAGCTGAGGGCTTCACTCCCTGATGTTCTGTACACGGGAGACGATCTCAGGCAAAAGCTGGTTTCTGTTCTCCTTGGTGACCTGTGGGAGGAAGTCACAGCTCAGGCTTCAGCACTGCCCACCTTGTTGGTGCCTGCTGGGACATCTGCAAGAGCCCAGCCCTCCAGGGACCAGAGACACCGTGCCACCACCTGTGCCTGTGGGGACGCCTCAAGCCCCGTGTCCATAGGCAGAATCTGAATGGCGGTCAGTGGCAGCCAGATACACAGGGAGCTAAGCCAAAACCCTGGCAGCAGACACAGGTGCCAGGGTGTGCCTGGTCCCTGAGAGGAGGCCCCAAGCCACTGCAGGTCCCCCCAAAGCCTGTGTGTTGGAAACATGGCTCTCTACCCCATGCCATGGTATCTGGGCTGGATGAGGAAGGGGGGGTAGGTGCTCGGGGACTTTGTAAGAGGAGACGGTACCCAGGCCAGCACAGGCGTAACACACCAGCACCTAGAGGGGAAGGGACAGTGCGTCAATGTCCACGTTGTGCCTGGTGTGTTCCTGGAGGCGGGAGGTTCTCCAGCCCCGAGGGTCCCGGGCTGCTGACCCACAGGTCTCATGGGGGTCAGTGGGCTAACAGCGGCCTCGAGCTCAGCTTAGGTGGCTGAGAAACTCTGCCTTTCTATTTAACTGCTGTGGCCATCGCACTCACAGGCGGCCACTGTCCTGCATGGGACCATGCGCTTTGCCCCTGGGGATAGCGCCACATGTGTGCTAGCTGTGCAGGCAACCAAGGCAGGGCTCTAGGTCCTGCGGAGATGGGGGAGGGAGGCAGAGGGGCTGGGCTGACCCCCCGAGGACCTGTCCACTCACGGTGAGCACTGTCACGTCCCGTCGACTCCTGATCTCCTCCACCAGTGCCAGCGGCCTCCCTTTGGGGACAGGGATGGTGCCCAGAACCACAGTCCCAGGTGCACACAGCATCTGGCGGACAGCTTGGATGAAGGACTGGCTGAAGAGCTCCATCTTCCCAATCTCATCAATGATGCACACTCTCTGCCCCGGGCCTCTGCCAGAACCTACCTGCAGAGGCATGCTGTCACAGGGGCACCAAACTGGCCGTGAGACCTGTTGCGTGTGTGTGTGTGTGTGTGTGTGTGTGTGTGTGTGTGTGTGTTCGTGTGCACATGCGTGCATGTGCTCATCTGTTTGTGCCTGTCCTGGGCCTTTTTGCTCAAGGCTGGTGCTCTACCACAGGAGCCTCAGCTCCACTTCCAGACTTTTGGTGGTTAATGGAGATTTACAGTCTCACAGACTCTCCTGCCCTGGCTGCCTTCATCCTGACTTCTGAGGGGCCCACAGCGGCCAGGGTGCACTCCTATTCCCCAGGTGTAACAAAACCAGAGGAAGGGGCCACCACCTTGGCCCCTCAGCCCATTCCACCCCTAACCCTCACCCCCACCCCCATGGTCCTGCTCCATTGGGATGCAGCCATAGCCTCACTGGACCAACGTCACAATCGTCTCTTTCATTTCCCGTACAATTCTTTAAGAGGGACTCACAGTGACCAAGATCCCCTTTCAGTGTCCATAGGATTCAGGGACTGCACACTAAATCGCAGCCCTGGAATGAAGCCTTACCTGCCTAACATGCGGCCTTCAAAGCCGCCAGCTGGCGGTCAGGTCATAATCTCTCCTGTCTTGTTAATTTTTTATACAAAAGCAAATATCATTCCTCTCTTTCCTCCCAATAAAATACAAGGGATGGGAGGAGAATTCTGCTGAGATCCTGTGTCCAGCCGGGGAGGCAGGAGCACTTCCCAGCTGTCCCACCACAGCCTCTCCACAGGTAATCAGTGTACCAAGCCCTCGGGAGGTCAGTGGGCCGCCTCAGGAGGACAGTGGGCTGTGTCTTCCAGTCACACAGCAGCTGCGGCCAGCATCAGCTCTTACATAATCCTGCAGCTACGTGCCGCACACCTCTGCCCACTGGCCTCCCAGCAGAGAAGGAAAAATCAATTCTTCCTACAGATTGGATGCCTGAGGCCAGGCCCTTCACGGAATTTTACTAGAAACCTCCACCTGCTGTTTGGTCACTGCGGTAGAGAGGTATGCCTTCGATGGAAAATAACTAGGACAGTGTGTTCTCTCCCTGCTCCTATCCAACCCCACAGCCACCATCGCCACAGCACAGGGCTGGGGGCGGGCACTAGAGGAAAGACCAGGGTGGAGTAGGGGAGGAGGCAGAGGAGAATGAGGAAATCACCCCCAATGCCCTGTGCTGACATTGCCCGGACAGGCTGAGTGACCAACGGGCACTGCCACTCCGGCTGAGCTAGGAACACCAAGGGCTCAGCTGCACTACCACCACCACCCTGGCACATGCAGTGATGGTCTGACCAGAGCCGGTGCCCCACCGCCCCGGCACACGCAGTGATGGTCTGACCAGAACTGGCCAGAGGCCAGCAAGATGGCACGACAGGTAGGTAGGACAGAGGCCAGGGAGGGATCTAGTGTTCACTCCTGGTATGGTGGATCATGCCAGAAGGGTGACTCATCCACTCCAAGCAACTTCCACAAAATCAGATCAAAGGAATGAGTCTGTAACATCCCACACGGTCACCGAGCCCTGCAACCCACTCCTCACCAGACCCCGCTCTAAGTTCTAGACCATCCTGCCATTCTGCCTAGACCATCCCTCCCACACACAATGATTCTAACACTCCTTTTCTCTGTCATCTTTCTTTTAGGGCTCCAGAGCCCTGTCCTGGCCCCTGCCTCCGCTCTCTGGCTCCTGCTGCCAGCACTGATGACAAGTATCCCCAGTCTGAGGGACAGCTGTTGATCTGTTCCATTCATGACCCTCAGTCTGGCTCAGGACTTGCAAGTATTTAACAGTTGCAAGTGACAGGTCATAAATAGTCAAGAAAACCAGAGGCTGGTTCTTTGAAAAAATTATCTACCTTGGTACATCTTTAGACAGACTAATGAATAAAAAAGATCTATATAACTAAAATGAGAAATGAAAGAAGTAATGCGGGCAACCTTACAAAATGATAAATAATAGGTTAGAAGAAATGGAAAGATTGCTAAAAGGCACAAATTACCATTCCACAAGAAATAAGAATTCAGCAAATGTGAACCAGGTAAAGAAATCAAACAAGGCCAGGCTCCAGAGAGTCACGCCCATAATCCTCACTATGCAGGAGGCAGAGATCTGAGGATCACAGTTTGAAGCCAACCCAGGCAGGAAGTCTTTGAGGCTCCTATCCTATTTAAATAGCAAAAAGCTGGAAGTAGAGCTGTGGCGCAAGTGGTAGAGCTCAAATGGTAGAGCACCAACTTTGGAAAGCCAAGTGAGAGTGTGAGGCCTAAGTTCAGGTACTAGTGCTCGCACACAGATGCACCCCCCCCCACACACACACACTATTAAATTAGTACTCTCAGAAGAACTGTGAAGAACTGCCTCAGGCATGTGTGGGCAGCTTCTGAGAAAGGGAGGGACACTTCCGGGCTCCTACTCGACCCCCCAGAGATTCAGAGAGGCGAGGCATACCACACAGGGACTGGCCACACCCAGCACAGCGCATGGGAAGGCCCCTCTCCCGGGATGCGGCTGGCAGGCATCAGAGCACAGACTGCCCCCCATGCTAGATGTGGGTGACCGGACTTCAGTCAGAGTGACAGAACACCCTGCCTGTTTCCAGTCCTCCAGGCTCCTGTGGGAGCAAAGCCGTTCTGTGCATGGCTGACAGGCTCCACGAGAAGGTCAGAACCCACGACTCACATTCCTCAGGACGGGAAGCACCAACTGCTCGAAGGAGGCCAGGTCCACCACGTAGGGCCCCACGCGGCACCCGTGCTTTCCCAGCAGGGGCTCTGGCCTGCAAGGAGAGGAGCTGTGAGGAGCAACGCCGAGGGCTGGAGGTCCATGCCTGGCTGATGTCATCCTTTACCTCGTGAGAGCAGGGTCCACATAGCCACCGTGTGCTCAGGGCCCCACAGCCAGGCCCCAGGGCCGGCAAGTACTGCCAAGACACGCCACACACAGGCAAAGAGTCACAAGGTGAGAGGAGAGCGAGACTCCAGGGCCTGAGTTTTAGGGACTGCGTTAGCCTTGTTTGTCACAGGATGGTGTTTTCTTTCTGAGAAATTTCTCAATGTCCAAGATGGACAGGGTCCCCCAGCTCTTCTGCAGGAGGCAGCCCTCCCCCAAGATGAGCTTTAATGAGATCAGATGGAGATACTCCCAAGGTGTGGACTCAAGCAGCTTAGAGATAGAGTCCCGCAGAAACGAAATAGGTGGGTCTGGCTGCATGCCTCCCTAACAACATGAGGCCCAGAGTCAAACCTCCATAATGCCAAAAAAAGAGAAAAAAAACAACATACCCCACTCGAGACAGGGGCCCTCGAGCTCCAGACAAGGTGACGACGTCGAATCCCACCCTCCTGCCGCCCTGCCTGACCTCTTCTGTGTAAAATCCGTCCACGGGTACCCCAGAGGACTGTAGAGCCTGGCTGGCTTTCTGGATCAAGGTTGTTTTGCCAACCCCTGAAAGAGAAGGGAAGAGGAGGCGGTCGGGAGCGCTCACCATGGCGCATGCTCCGTGCAGGAAAGCCTGGAGCAGCAGCCACAGGCAGGTGGGAGGTAGCCCTCTGTGATTGTCACTATCCCAGGGGGACCCAGGAACAAGCTGCCTCACACAAGCATGGGTCCTGGAGTGCTGGGACAGTTTTGCCTCATGCACAGTCCAGGATACACTGAGCATTTGAGTGCTTCATTCCTCCTGGGTGACCCTCCTCACCTTCCCACATAGCTACTGACACTGGCCATGCCCAGGACATAGCAGGCACTAGAACCCGGGATTTCAGCTCTCTAGGGGCATGGACCTACACTTCTGAGTGGGCAGATCACTCCCTTCCATCCTGCATCTCCGGAAAACAAACACGACTCCTGCACCTCACATACACCCAGGACATGGTGGCTTTGGAGCTCCCTTTCCAACACAGCCCCCGACTCATCTCCTCCAAGACTGTGCACCCCCGCTCCCATGCCTGGGCAGCCCCACGCCTGCGTCTCTGGTCTCTCCTCCCCTCCGCCTGGCCCAACAACCACACTCATCCCCGATGACAGCACATGGCATCTGCCACCTCCATCCTGCAGCCACACATGTGTTCAAAGCTTGCTTTAAAGGCCTTGGCTTTGCTAAGTCCCCACAACTGAGGCAGGGGAGGTTCTAGCAGGTGGGCAGCTGAACACCTGGAGTCCATGTTCTGAATCAGACCAATTCTGTGGCCATGTGCAACCCATCAGACTGCTTCTGGAGCTACACTCAGGGCTGCCCAAATGTCTCAGCCAGAATCAATGCATCTCTCTCCAATGTCACACTAAAATGGTGGCCCCTGCACAGAGGGCAGGCCACAAGTGTCCCAGCCACCGCCAGCCAATGACCATGTGGCCAGTAAGACAACTGCTCAGAACATCACAAGACCATGCCCCAGCTCTGTGGCCTTAGAACCGGGGATGTGTGTGCGGGTACTCCTTCCTGAAGGGCCTTTCCCACGTGCCTACCATAGCCTCAGCAACTCTGCACTTAGGAATTCAGCTCAATATGGGACTCAAGTCTGGATGGTGAAATGGCACATTCATGCGGAAGTGTGCATTGTAACAGCCAACACTGGACACAAGCTGGACATGATCAGCAGGTAATGTTAACTTACAGCGTCATGTAGAAATACACAGAATACCATGCCACCACTCAGAGTAACACTGTTGTTACTAGTATGAAAGGTGGACCATGTTTATAGTTGTTTAAATAACATGTGGGGAAACACAGTTTAATTGACAGTAATCTACAGCATGGTTCCATTGCTGTTTCTCCAGGGCAAGGAATGCATGTGCCACAGAAGACCAGGCCTAGAACAATCCAGAACAAGAGTCTAGAACCACACAGAACAAAGGCGTCAGTGCCTACTTCTGTTGAAATTCCATGTGATTTTCCCTTTCTTCCTTAAATTTTTCTTTAGGGTTTTGATTTTGCTTACACTCCTATTCTAAGAATAACATCTACTTCTATTTTGAAAAAAAACAAAATGGACTAGCACCAGTTTTGGCGCCCCAAGGCGTGCACAGGGCCTGTGGGTGGCGGAGGGGCACCCGTGGCCCCAAGGCGTGCACGGGGCATGCACAGGGCCCATGGGTGGCGGAGAGGGCACCTGTGGCCCCAAGGCGTGCACGGGGCCTGCGGGGGACCGAGTGGCCGGCGGGGCACTCATGGCCGACCCTTTCGCCTTCTCAGCTCTCTCCGGGACACCAGCTGCAGGTGACCTAGGCTGTGGTTCCCAGCCCCACCCCGGCGAGCAGGCCGGCGCCCCCTCCCTGGTAGGGGCCGCGGGGCGGGCGGGGGCAGGCCTGGGGCGGCCGCCGCACACCTGCGGGTGCGGGTGGGTTCTCCTGGGACCTTGGGACGGCGGGCGAGCCCGGCGCGGACGCGGGTCCCTGCGGGGCGGGGCCAGCCCTGCAAACCAGGCAGACTTGAGGCAGGCCGTGGCCGGGGCCGGGGCGTGGGGGGCCCGGCGTGAGGAGGGGCCCTGCGCCGCCACCGCCTCCACCCCGGCCCCGCAGAGGTCACCGGGAAGTCCGCGGCCCGGAGCTTCACCTCAGCTCCCGGCCCGAGCCCGGGACGGCGCGGGGACCCAACGGCCGAGCCCGGGGCAGGCAGCAGCGGAGGCCCCAGCCTCGGCCCCGGCTGGGCCCGCGCCCCGCGCGCCGCCCGCAGTCCAACCCCGCTCCGCGCCCGCCACCCCCGCGGCGCGCCCGCCCGCGCCGTCACCTGGCGGCCCGGTAAGGAACACGTGCCGGGCCATGTGCGGGCTGGTGCGGGCCTCCACCTTGGCGGGTCTGGACAGACTCGCGATCGGCCCCGCCCCCTGCGGCTGCTGCGCCGGCCGCCCCGCGGCTGGACACACCCCCTGCGGCTGCAGGCCACGCCCCGCGGCTGGAGGACACACCCCCTGCGGCTTCAGCGCCGGCCTCCTCGGCGAATGCAGGCCCCGCTTCCGTGTGTGTAAGCCCCACTCCCGTTCCCTAGGATGCAGGTCCCGCCCCCAGAGGCCGGAAGCCACGTTCCGAGGACGCGCATGCGCCTGGTGTCCTGCGACCTTCTGCGCCAGTTGTCTGGGATCCGGGGGCTCGCGCTGCGTTACTAACGCGGGTCGACAGCTCAGTTGCGTACGTGCGGACGTCACGTACCGTACCTAAGCCGCCCCGGGGTCCCAGGTTCCACCAGAGCTGGGCAGGCTTTGGAAACCTTTGTGGCCTCGCTGACCTGTGTGCAGCCCCTGTTCACCCCGGCGCTGGGTGGGAACAGACTCAAGCCCCCGAGGTTGGCAGCAGCCCCCTGCCCTTGGGGAAAACCACCTTGTTTTGACCGTCCATTTAGTTGCCAGCACCTGGCACCTGCACCCCGTGTGTGTCTGGCCGCACAGGGACTGCGTCCTAATGGCTCCCACAGACATCGTTGAACAAGTAATTGGGGTGATTCCTGGCCATATGTAGCGCTTTGTCCCCCTCAGGAAGTTCCTAGAGCCCACAGGGCTTGTCGCCCTCCGGTGTGGACAGACTTCCCTCCTCCAGCCTCTGGGGGAGCAGGCCTCAGGCTCCCACTGCATGCCCAAGTGTCAGTCCACCCAACAACCCCTGCAGGGGCCTACCAGAGATGACTCCACTCCCTGCCTCCCTCAGGCAGCAACTCCAGTGCACGGGCCTTGGTATGGGGGACTGCGGACCCTGCAGTGTGACTTGTGGAGTTTGGCTCTCAATCTCTCACTCTCCATGCTGGCTGAGAGCTAGCTCAGAGCTGTCCCCAGAGCTGTCTTCCCAGATTCTGTTTAGCTGAGGTATATGGCAATGTAATGGCCTCGTAAAGAAATCATCTTTTCTAATACAAAGGATGCTTTTATCACACAAACAAGTTAGTGTGCTAGAGCTGTCACCATCATTTTGAAATGGTATGATGCTGTCATTTGTCAGTAAGATGGTGCATTGCTTATTTGCATCATACATCTGCATGCTGACTGGAGTCCATCCACAGCTGATTAGGAAAGTAACACTGAAGGAGCTTCAAGTAAAAGAAAGACATGCAGTCATATGGGTCTTGTATCTAACATGCTAACTTTTGAAAGGTTTTGGGTTTGTTTTTTTTTTTGATACTAGAATTTGAACTCAAAGGCCCGCATTTGTTAGGTGGGCACTCTTATCCTAGAAACACACCTCCAGCCCTATTTTGTCCTGGTTATTTTTGAGATAGGGTCTTTCTTTCTGCCTGTTTCAGCAGGGATAACAGGCAAATACCACCCCACTTGGCTTTGTCCACTGAGATAGACTCTCAAGGACTTTTCTGCCCAGGCTGATCTCTGACAGTGACCCTTTCAATCTCAGCCTCCTAGCAGCTAGGATTACAGGCATGAGCCACCAGCTCCCAGCTCTAAAATATTAATTTTTAAATATGTGACATTTTCCATCACTGACAAGCAAGCTGACTTGCAAGGATTTCCAGAAGTTGGTTCTTTCCCTTTGATGTTAATGCGTGGAGCTCCACATCTGTTTAGGTAACTCAAGGACATGTGGAAACCAGATGTAGAGAATCAACATCACTGGAATGGAAAGGAAATAAATTCTTCCATAGACAGGTGTTTCTTATTCCCATAGAACCGTTGCTGAGGGTGGTTGTTACATGGATCTTTTCACTTTATAATTCATTGAACACTTGGGTTGGGCAGTTTTCTCTGGGTTGTTATACATCAATGACATAGGTTAAATGATATCAGTTAGAGACAAACCACAGAAGAGGGGTGACATACTTAACAACTAAATACCATGCTGAATCTGACTTTGCTTATCTTCTAGTCTGGGTGCTAGGGATTGAATGTGGCCCCCAATTCACATGTGGGATCCTAGCCTTAGTGTGTTCTCAAGACAAGGATTGGGATCAGTCTTTCCAGAAAGATATTCCCCTGCTGTGAGAGCCCACAGATGAAGACTGGCTTCCGGGAGCCAGGCAGAGGCTCTGACCCAGAACCTCACACGGTCAGCAGCTGTGGGAACTGCAGGCACGGCTGCTGTCGCTCCATCTCTCAATCCCTGCCTGGGCTCCCTGAGCCAGAACGCACTGAAACTATTCAAGGACCAGTGGTGTCAGCCCTTTTATTTCCTGCAGCTCTGGGTGCACGGCCCCCGGGGGCCCTGTGGGCAGATGCCGTCCTGGTCACCAAGCACAGGCAAGGACCTGTGCACTCTCTAGTTCTAGAAACTCACAGGGTTCTGGAAAAACAGCTCATTGGGTTTTCTTGTGTCCCCTGGTCCCAGTCTCAAATCTGCAAGATCCCTGCCTTCGAGACCCTGGCAACCCCTGGCCAGCATGTAGGGCTCCCGTCCTTGGCTCTAGGGACAAAGAAGAAAGGTTTTCTGAGGAATGGGCCAAGGACATGCCGATAGGCAGGCCACAGGGAGCCTGGGGCCTGCTTCTGCTTTGTTTAGGCCCAGTCATCCCTTCCACTTGAATCTCAGAGTGGAGAATCTTTTGTTTGCCAAATAATGTGGCACTTGTTCTGGTTTGAATCTCTCTGATGAGTAGGAATCAAAAAAATCGCTGCATCTAATGAGTATTCAGTGGCAGATCTAGAGAGCTGGTGATTGTGTATCCCTCCCTTCATGCCTCCCTCCTCTCTCTCTCTCTCCCCGCCCTCTAGCCTTCCCTCCCTTCCCCCTTTCGTTCCAGATAATGTAGTAAATGGTAGAGATCAAACAGACATTTGGAAAAGCTTCTGTCTTGAGAAGATTATGTCAAAAATGCAAATCTCCTAAGAACTACAATTTTTCCCCCCACTCAAACTTAAAATGTCTTTATATGAGCTCCACAGGGAGGAGTTGCTGCCCTGCTCTTTTAAGCCATCTGCTGTGGCCTATGCAACAGTCAGCAGGGAAGGGCATTGCATCCCAGCTACTCACCTGTGAACGCTCCCTCTGGTCTTAGCACAGAGACAGGAAGGGTCAGAATGTCATCAGCATAAAAAAGACCCGGGCAACCAGGGCTTCCCTGAAAGCACACTTGCTGGAAAGCTGTACCAAACATACACTGTAACAAGTTAATGACACAAATAGTACTAAAGTCAGGTGTGGGTAGCTCAGACCTGTGATCCCAGCTGCTCAAGAGAGGCTGAGGTCTGAGGATCCAAAGCCAGCCCAAGCAGGAGTCTGTGAGATTTTTTTATCACCAATTAACCATCAAAAAGTCCAAAGTGGAGCTGTGGCTCAAGTGGTAGAGCATTAATCTTGAGCAGAAAAAACTCAGGGACAGTGCCCAGGCCCTGAGTTCCAGCTCCAGGATCAGCACAGAAGAAGAAAAAGTAGGTGGGAATGAGGAGCACTGTGGGTCCCACACTGTGCAGGATGGGACGTGTTGCGCCGGTGGTCGCACCTCACATCCCCGTCACGGAAAAGACCACCAGCCTCTCCTTTTTTTTTTTTTCTCCTTATGATTTCTTTACTGAAGAACCCACTGGAGTCAGGCAGGGTGGCTCACACCCAGAAACATGGCTTCTCAGCTGCCCGAGGCAGCAGAATTTCTAGTCTGGGGCCAGGCTGGAAGATAAAGCAAGACCCTGTCTCCAAAAAACAAAAATAAATAAAAAAGAAAAGGAAGCCATGATGTGTATACCGTCTCCTGCCTGGGATTTGGTGACTGCATCCAGGGTACTGAGTGTCATGTTGCTTGGTTCCCTGGGGTACTGAGTGTCGTGTTGCTTGGTTCCCTGGGGTACTGAGTGGCTTGTTGCTTGGTTCCACATAGTTCTTCTGGATCCCATAGTGGCGGCTGCTGCTGACTGTACCAAGATGCAAGTCAGGTGCAGAGTCTACCACCCCCTCCTCGCAGCAGCAGAGAGGGGGCACCGTGAATGTGCAGGGTGCATGGGTTCCTCTCCTGTGCCACAGAAGCTCTCACGTGCCCTACTCCACAACTATGGAAATGTGACGTGCAGTCCAGCTGCCCAGCATCGCCGCTTCTTCCCGTTGGGGATTCTCTCATGGGAGTCTGCACCCACACAGCTCAGGCACGGTGGAGACAGGAGCAAGCGAGCTTGAAGTTTGCCATCGCCGGCTCCACCACTTGCCACCCAGAGCAAGTCCTGCCTTGAGGCAGACAGAATCATAAAAGTCCCAGCGCCGTTAAAAGTCCCCTTGGCCAGAACAATTGTAATGTATGGATGGAAAGGTAGCTCTGAAATAATGAAGAGCAAAAGGAATAGCACAGGCCATGGTGTGCAACCTGACGAGAGCTGCATACAACATGACCCCAGCTGTGCCTGGCATCATCCCAGCAGACACCCACAGACCCAGGGGTGGGAAGTCTGCTTCCATGGCTGCTTGTAGGCCCACATCTGGACTGAAGGAGAGTGTCTGAGGATTGTGGTTCAAAGCCAGCTGGGGCAGGAAAGTCCATGAGACTCTTCTATCCAATAAACCACACAGAAAACCAGAAGTGGCACTATGGCTCAAGTGGTAGAGCACTCTCCTTGAACTCCTGTGTGTCCATGACTGAGTCAGGAAACAGCCAATAGATGATGCACTGCGGGGTGGACCAAGTCTTGGATGCACCTATCATCCATCAGGCTGTGACCATGGCACAGCTTGCTGATACTTGCCAGAGCCAGTGACATCTCATTGATGGCCATATCTGGCTCATTTGCCTGCCCTGTCAGTGTGATTCTGGTCTGCAGGGTCCTGGTCTTCAGGTCCTGCTCAGGGAACCCAGGCTCCGAGATGGTCCCCACTGGTACCTTGGCACACACAAGCCCTGGTTAGTTTAGGGCTGGTGTAGTCTTGGACACACACGGGGGCAGTGCTATTAAGGTCCCCAGGCTATGCA